GAAAGCATTCAAGTCCCAAGGGAAGGCACACATCACAGGATTTGATTGTGAGTATTCTAAGATAGTATATAATTGAGAATACTTCAGCACCCCAACTTGTTTTGCATTTCATAGATGGTTCAAGATGTATGATCTTAATTAAACCAGTTCCCTAATAAAAAAACAATGACCACTTAAGTATCTATGAATGAGCTTATTAATCAAAACATATTTGCAAACACATAACATTAATAAAGTATCTAGAATTGAAAGAACTTATTACCTTATTTTTCGTCAATACATTAATAATATCCTCTATCGATCATAACTTGTCTTGTTTATTAGCATGCCTTTGTGATTCCTTTAAAACAATACTTTTACCCATTTCTTGTAGCAAATCATCCATACCTAAAGATGGATCATGACTGTCTTCATATTCAATTAACAAGCATTTCTCTACAAGGGTTTTGATTCAAATGATCGGATAAAAACCACAAAGTTTTAATATTTCCATCACTTTATCTTTTCACATTCCTTTAAAGAAGCATGCAGCATCTAAAAATATTTTTTCTCGATGGGATCTAATGCTTCATAACTCATTCAAAGTTTCTTTAGAATTTCATTTGGTGGAAATTTCTTTATTTTCTCAAAAGCATCTATCCACTCAACCATATTTCTTCCATAAAGATGACAACCCAAAACTTCAAGTGTCAAAGGAAGGCCAGCAACTAGTTCAACCACATTATTGATACCTCTAAATAATTTTTTGGTTTATCACTTTTAAAGGCCTTTGTCAGAAGAGTTGAATAGATCCCTCATCTTTCAAATATTGTGTCACATGAATTTAAAATTCTCCATGAGCTTCCAATACATGCTTATTCCTAGTAATTACTATTACTCTACTTCCCGGACCCAACCAAGCTTGCTTTATAGCAAGGTACTCAAGTCAATATGAAAAAGGCTACCAAAGCACCAACATTGGAGTTTTTTTTTCATAAAAAAGCTCTCAAAATATGAGGCGGAACATACGAAAGCATTTTTTTGTCAAAAACAAAAAAGTCCTATTGTGTTCACTATATGAGAGCTTTTAAAAACAAAAACGCTCCTGTAGATGGTTAAAAAAAACAATTTCTACTCTAAAATGCTCACATATGCTAAATACTTATGAGAGCTTTTCTGATTAAAAGAGCTCTTATAGAGTATTCTTTTTTATTATTTTTAAAAATTAAAACCTATGAGAGCTTTTATGATAAAAAAAGAGCGCCTGTAAGGTGTTTTTTTTTATATTATTTAAAAATAAAAAAAAATAAAACCTATGAGAGCTTTTATGATAAAAAAAGAGCGCCTGTAAGGTGTTTTTTTTATATTATTTAAAAATAAAAAAAAATAAAACCTATGAGAGCTTTTACGATTTGAAAAGCTCCTGTAGTTTTTTTTTAATTGTTTATAATAGAAAGTCCCTTAATTCTTTCTTTCTTTATGAGCACCTCATTCGAAATCTACCTTAGCTCTCACTGCTCCAAGCCACCGAACTCCTTTCCTCTGCCGTCCATGAAGTCGCCGTCGAATCCCTGCCACCATTGTCAAGCCCACTAGCCACCGAGTCAACCAATCGCGAGTCCGTTTGTCTAGCTCGTTGAATTTACCAATCGCCGTTGTTCCTCCCGAAGTCGAGATGCAGTCTTCATCGCGCCATCAAAGCTCTCCTTCCTCCTCCCTCCGTTGTCGTTCCTTCTTTTGCCATCGAAGATATTCCTCGCACCGTTCGAAGTTCGCACCTGAAGTTCAGATCTGTGTGCACATCCAGACCCATTCGATTAGTCTGCCCCTCTGCTATTAATGGATTTGATGTTAGGGTGTGGTTCTTGACAGACTTTTTTAGCTCCTTTAAGCAAAGTAATACATTTAGAAGGGACAATGGAACTTGGAGTTACTCTTTGCCCTCATTTAAGATTGAAAAGTTAGTCAAAATAGATTGTGATGGACCTAGCAATGTTTTGTTAAATTTAATTTTAATCACTCAGATTTTAATGATTGCATCTCAAGGACGGATTATCTCTTCCTGCATGCTTTATTATAGGCTTTCCTAATTTTTTTCTCAGAACTAGGCGACAGGACCTTCTTCATTGTAGTAAGTGTGCAACAATCCATGGCTTGTTAATTCCTATTCGAAAATGGAATTATAGAGAAATAGAAGTTTAGAATTACTAAAGCATGGTGACCTTTCAGTTAATTTCCGTAATTTCATTTCAAAAGATGTTTGGTTACATAAACAAACTCTTGCTCTGAATGTAAGCTTGTTCTTGTGAACCTAAGGGCACAAAGTTTCTTCATGCGTTTTTTTTTTTTTTTGGCTTTTTGGTTGTGATTTAATGCAAAGTAGAATAATTATGCTTGGGTATTGTGATTTTGGATATATGATGTCTTGTGCAGGCACTATTAGCTGCTAGGAATTCAGCTGCTGTCACTTTCATTAGGACATTTGGTGCACTTGCATATGCTTTTATGTTTCAGTGACTTAGATGTTCCTTGTGGTTTGTACTTCACTTACATGGAGTTCCTTATAATTACTCACTTTGACCAATAAGTTGATTAAAGTAACTACTATGAAAATGTTGATAGGCTAGTACAGTAAAAGTGGAAGAGTAAAATCCTCTTTGGAGTCAAATTAATGGAAAGAATCAGTAGTAAATGATTTTCTTGCCAAACCTTCTGGAGAGAACACGAATTTTCCCTCTGCTGTAGTGCTTAAGCATGTACAAGCCAATAGTCTCAATCACTTTGGCTACATCTTACTAGCATTTAGTTGCTAAGTCTAAAAAAATCTAGCTGCCTTTTTGTGATTGATGTTGTTTTCTATATATAGAAGTATAGATTCTTCAATAATATGTCATTCTTCATATTACTAATATCTATTTGTCATTCACAGGGCAATGACTATTGTATCTGTTGTTCTTGGATGAACTTTTCATTATGTTGATGAAATATTGCCATTCAGGTACTTGGCTTCTTTACAAGATTATTTTGGTCTAAACTCTATGATATGGCATGCACAGATGGACAGAGTGAAAATAATTGACATACTTCCAATGAAATTAAATTTTCAATCTATGTTTCAAGTTATCAGGTACAATATGATGGAAATTGTAGATTATTTTAACTTGAGAAAAGACCAAGTTTGCACCATGCAAATGGGAATTGTTTATTTATTATATCAAACTTTCAATTAATGATATAATCAAGATTTTGGAATCATGTTAAGCCCTATGGAATTTGGCCACATTCCTAAAATCCAAATACAGACCCTTGCTGCACCATACCTTCATTCTTTCTCTTTCTCATATAAACAGGATGTATAGCTCATCACTAGCTAGCTAGCTTGGCATACCGTAATTATAATTTATACAGGATGACTTGTACATTTGCTTCTGATAGTTACTATCTTCATCACATCTTAATTAATTATCGCCCAATAATCCATATTCTAGACTTGGGTATATTCTGCACTACTTCAAGTGTTTCAACCCCACCTTGTTATTTTCCTTTACATTAATTTGTTCATCCATCAAAACGTGTATTTTCATGTTGCAGCACTTCATATATAGTTAGGATCATTTACAATAATTTAGCCATGCAAGTATTTTTTTCATGAGCAGAAGAAGAAGCCCAATGATTAGAGTCTGAATAAAAAAAACAGAACCTCCAGCAAGCTGTAGCTTGAATCGAGTCTATGGAGGTCTGATATGTAGTTTGATATATATTATTGTTTGATGGTTTGCTGAAGCCTGTAGTTTTTGTTGGTGAATGAGGTGATAAATCATTTTTTTCTAGAATTGGGTGAGTGGCAAAGCTAGAATTGCTAGCAGATAAAGCATACTGTTATACATGGATTATGTGTAATGAGAATCCCTCCTTTAATTTTTCTAATGTGCTCAATTGTACTCTATCACAAGTCTGATTGACTTCTATTGTTTCTATGTTTTGCTTGTGTGCGCAGTGAATTAAACTATGTAGTTGTACTCCCTGTTGGACATACATATATTATTCATGGAACCCTCTTGGAATATCCTTCAACGATCAATCTATTTTTCTCTGTGTTAGCAGTTAGTATTAGGACCCATTTATTTTTAGAGTAAAACTAATTATTTATCCTTTGTACAAAGGTACAAATCTATCATTATTATGCTAAGTTATTTTTCTTTAACTTTTGCAGATAGAATATGAATGAATACTTTTCAACCAAGCAAAAATGGTGTTAGATGTATGTATTTGTCATCATGAGATTATTGGAACTGTTTTAAAATTCTTAAATTGCAATCTACATTATAATAATCATGTGTATTATAGTATTGAACATTAGTTAGTTGAACTTTAGTATGTAATGGAATTGCTTTTAGACTTAAGTTAATTATATAATTAATTTTTTTGTATATTAATCATGATGTACAATGCTTGTAGAGAATAAAAAAATGAATTAAATATTTAAAAAAAAATTAAACATACAAGAGCATTTCTTGAAAGGATCAAGAAATGCTCTTGTAGAGGTCTTATACAAAAGTGTTTTTGAGCATAAAAGCTCTTGTAAGTCAGCTTACGGGAGCTTTTCTAGTACTTTTTTGTGTAAAAAAGCTCTTATATGCTGACTTACAAGAGCTTTTTTGAGGGAAAAAAAAAGAAGAAGCTCCCGTAGGCTAACCTATGAGAGCTTTTTTTATGGGAGCTCTTGTTTTCGAAGTGTTTAAAAAATGCTTTGAAAGGGTAAAAGTAAACTCTTTGACAGCCTTTTTTTGTGGTAGTGATTATTTGACACCTCTAAACAATCTTTTGGTTTATCACTTTTAAAGGTCTTTATCAGAAGAGTTGAATAGATTCCTCATCATTCAAATATTGTGCCACATGAATTAAAAATTCTCCATGAGCTTTCAATACCTGCTTATTCCTAGTAATTACTATTACTCAACTTTTTAGACCCAATCAAGCTTGCTTTATAGCAAGGTACTCAAGTTGGTTATTGTCACTTACATCATCAAGCACTATCAAAGCAAATTCTATGCCTTTTAACATCCCATTATGTGAAATAAATCTTCTCTATAGGAAAACTAATCCTTCCTTTTCAAAAACATCCTTCACATCAGCAAAAAAAATAACAGACCAAATTGGTTATAGTTTGTCTCACATAAGTTTTGCAAGAGATGTTTTTCTTATACCGCCCATCCCCCAGATTTTCAACGGATGAACATCATTGAGTCTTATCTTTAAAATTGAATTAACTTCTTTTATCTTTGACTCCATTCCAACAAATTTGTGGGTTTTGTAACATGGCATGAATAATGTAGTATTGTCCATACACATCTAACAATTTCCTCAACGAAGTCTGTATCAAGCCTACATGAAAGAGAAGATTAAGAAAAAGAGATTAATTGGTATTCTAAACTTTTGTAAAAATTAAGATATTCCAAACCATGAAAAATAATAAACTAGATCACAGTGAAAAAGGAAAACAAAACATATAGCTAGTATATTATATTTTAAATTGCACCCAATTATTATTACTTTTATGTAGAGCATATTATCTCTTTTAACGTTTAATTAAATTTAATTTGATATGTACAGTTCAAAATATTGTAGTGAATCTTAGCTTTTTCTGCTGGTAAAATTTTTGAAAATACAACTTTTATGTTAATAAAAATTAAAATAATTATAATTGCAAACTTATTGAAAATTTTTACTGTCATACTAAAAATATTATTGTACTCTAATAATATTATGTAAAAAAATAATTTCATCTACAAATATCAAATTAAATGGGCAATATGTGTAAATCGTAATATCTATCAAATGTTGGCAGATTATATCGTGTTTTTAAAACAAGAAGAGTGTGGTATGATTTCAGCTAAATTTGAAGGTCGACTAATCGAAGTGATTCACGACAGATCTGAAAATTCACAAATTAAATTACATATGGAAAACTTACTGGTCCTTAGATTGATAGCCAGATAAATTTGCAACATCTTTTGAGGTATTTCTCCATCTCTGTACCTTCCCTTCATCTTCATGAAATCTCTCACTGTGCTTTTGAAAAGCATCTGCAAATGCTCCTCTTTGATGTCGCACATCAGATGGATCCACGTTATAGAACACAGGAAAAACTTCCCTACCCAAAGATTCTTTGGATTCGAGAATCTTTTGGAGTTCATCCAAACACCAACTTGAGGAAGCATAATTCTGGGAAATAATAACAATGGAGATAAGAGACTCCTCAATTGCTCGGACGAGTTGAAAGGAAATAACGTCTCCTCTCCTCTCCAAAGCTCATCATCTATCAAGGTTATGATACCCTTTCGTTGAAGAGCAGCGTGTAAATGAGCTGTGAAGCCTTTCCGAGTGTCTTCTCCTCTGAAACTCAAGAAAATGTGATGCTTCCATGGCGGGATTGTCGAGCTCAAGGAAGACGAGGAAGAGGCAGCTTCAACAGAAGTATCCATTGAATAAAGGCTTGCGGGTTTTCTCAGAAAAGAAACGCAATAAGGAGAGAGCGATGAAGAATTAGGTGGTAATAGACCTTCAGCTGATTGAGCTTGCGCAGAGATCTATTGGATGCAAGAAAACTGTAGCAGTCAACGACAGGGTAGTGGTACAAGATCAAGCAAAGTAGGTGAAACTACTTCTGAGAAAGTAGATCAATAAAGTGACAAAAAGCTGAATCACCACTTCAACATAACAGACTAAACTAAGGAGGGTGAAAAACTATTTTTAAAAATAATAATAACGATAATAATGAGGTGAGTGTGGTGACCCGTGGGCTTTGTGATTGTCTTTTCCAGAGGAAGGAGTGGATTCAACGAGTCGGTGGCTCAAAACGGGGAAAAAAAATGGTTTTTAAATGTATGAGTCAGATCATTAATTTGTATAAATTAAATGATTTAGTCAAATCAATTATTTATAAAAAAAAATGTATCTTAGTTTTTTTTAAAATGTCATTCTTTTTTTGCTACTCACAGTTATTTTTCTGTTGGTCGTGTTCAAGAGATAAGGTACTAAATATAAGCACTTTTCTCAATAAAGATTAAAACATTGATTTGCTATATTATGAAGGACTAGCTCCTTTCTTTAAATTCAATTCTTTGATAAATATCCTTCTTTTTAATAGTTGATATTTAGGACTAAAAGAAATTATTCTACTTCTACATTTAACACTGGAGATAGCTCTATTGATCTAGATCTCTCTATTTTCTCTTTCACCATGTAAAGTTAATTTTTTAAAAAATAATAATATTAAGTTGACTTAATTAAGCATGTTTTTCTTGTACATAGATTATCACGGACAATTTTAAAAATGGACTCAATAAACGAGTTTATGTCAAACAGTGCTATTGGGCTTTCAACGGAAAAGAATGGGTAGAGAAGAAAGCAGAACAATAAGCAATCCGGAATATTATCAGGGAACGTGTTTATGCTCGACAAATTTGCTGCAGGTTGCTGCCACCTAAATACCACCAGATATTCTTCTCCTTAGATTTAAAAGGGTGGGTAGCTCGAAACCTAAAGCCAAACTCCTTTACCAATGTTACTTCTAATTGGAGCTTAATTTTGGGTGTGACTATATGGAAGCTTTGGAAGTGGAGGAATTGTTTTATTTTTCAACAGGAGTTCCATAAGCCAGATGACCCTACAGCTGATATAATCCACACATGGAAATCCTTTACTATGCATGAAGAAGCATCACTGTTTGAGAACGATGTTACTGATACAAATACGAAATGGAAACCTCCTCCATAAGGTTGGGTCAAATCTTAATACTGATGGTGCTATTGTAATAAACACGAGGAAAGCTAACTGTGGAGGAGTCCTCAGAGATGATAAAGGAGTTTGGATTGTGGGTTTCTCCAATCCTCTCGGTAGAGGAATGTGCATAGTTTAGAAGTCTTCAGAGGGCATGGGATATGGGATTCAAGAAGGTAATCATCAAAGCAGATTCAAAGTACCTAGTGGATCTTCTTAATGGACAAGATGGGAATGAATACGGTGGAAGTTTGATCTTCTTGGAAGTCCAAAATCTGCTCCGACACAACTGACAAGTACTAGTGATGTTTGTTCCCAGAGAACAAAATATGGTGGCAGACTTATTGGCGAAACAAGGGATCTCAAACTCCTCTTTTTTGGATTTGACTTCCCACATTTGAGAGAGTTAGTGCTCAAAGAAAGTTTGGGATTTCAATCCCCTCTCTATGTTTTAATTTTCTATTGTAATTCGGTTAGCCCTCTTCATGACCAAAAAAAGAAAAAGCAATCCAGAATAGTATTAGCTTCCATCTTACTAATGCCCAGGCTCTTGAAGTAATCATTTGTCCAAGCAAACCCCTTTATTGGCCTCACTCATTCCATTACACTTTTTCATCCAAAAAATAAATAAATGATTAAAGGGCATTTGTGCTCTTGAATTATTCATGGTGAAGTACTCAGTATCTTAAACTTTGTCATTGCAATGTCACCATAAAATAATTATAGTATAATAATCTTGCCCCTAACGTTAAATTTCATGAAACATCTTCTATGTAAGGCTAGTGGGGCCCACTTGCTAAGACATGTGATAAAGAGTTGTATTGACCATTTCTGACAAGGTGGGGGTTAGTGGAGTAAGCAAATGAGTTGTTAAAATCTTAATAAAATTCCCACCAACCTTAGAATAAGTCGCTAGTCTTAAACATTATTCATGTAATTGAGAGCCATGGATCTCAAGCTCTATTAGCAGCAGATTCTAGGATGCTCCCATTGTAGAACTCTAAGAGAAGGATGAAATTAAAATGAAGCACAAGAATAGACTCACCCCATAAAGCTTTCTTAACAAATCAATCATTTCAAATTCCAATTACAACAAATTGACGATGACTGCTTCATGTCAAAAACAACAAATCATATACCGATATTTTAACACCAGTTAGGTAACCAGTAATACATCAAATGAGAGTTCTGCTCTCAAACTATAGACACACAACATACATTTAAAAGGATGAGAATCCTGCCTATGAGCTATGTGGAATATGCATCTATGGTTACATCAAAACAAATGTTTTCAAATTACGTCAAAATAATTTGATTCACTCAACTATTGCGACTTCCAAAACAGCAAGGATATCCACCATAAGGTGTTGATGATCGGGCATGATCCACGGTCCTACTATCTGAAATGTCAAATGATTAATAAGTAAATAGCATCCACCTTAATGAAACTACAATGACATAAGGAGGGGAAAATTAAGTAAACTTATCATTCAATTTATAGATGAGATATGATAAAAATATTTTTGTTCATATGAAGTTCAAGGACCTTACCTTAGTAAAACTAACAAGTAATAGTAAAAGCAACGCTGGAAGCCAAATATATGCACAGATACATTTATGTCTGCGGTTAAAATGCTCACAAATACATGAAAAAATAACATAAAAAACAAACATGCGCACAACCAATAAAGTTAGCATTTTTATTTGATAGAAAGACAATATCTAAATCTTTTAATTTCTTGTAGAGGCATATTCATTTGTGGGGCAATATTGACTCCCTGAACATATAATACTATCGGTTTGCCTTGCTTAGTGATCAGCTCCCTATATATTCAAAAGGGTAGACTATTATTTTTCCTTTGAACTTATGGAAAGCCATGACCATCTGATTGTTTAAGTACTAACTGAAGTATTTCAAAATTCATCGTTCCAACCCATATATAGTTTTGTAAGCAAAATGTACTGACTTGCTACTTCATTCGAAACCCCATGATCTGATCAGTAAAAGCTTCATGTAATAACCCTAATTAAAAAAAAAAAAGAAAAGAAAAGAAGAAGATAAATTAAATGATAAATAAATTAAATAAATTTTTTCTTTCAATTGATATTTTATTTTATTGTTTTAGTTATATAATAAATAGGGAGTAATGGTTCAGTGGAAGCTATGCCATACGTTAGGGGGTTCGAATCTTACTTATATTAGAGGAAATTTCATTTTTGTTGACCTCGAATGAAGTTACCAAAATACCCCTGTCTCTTGTGCAATTTTACAAAATATTTATTGAGTTTTCTGTAATTTTTCCTAATAAACTTCATTTCTTTAAATTCCTTCCCTTTGTCGGTCAAGAACAGAGCACGAGGGGAGAGAGTGAGAGAAATCCTGAATCTAGAAATTTCAAGCTTCTCTGTCTTCTCCATCCGTCTTCTCCGTCTTCTTTGCCTATTCCCATGTGTCGTCGGTGTTGATGAGTCCAGAAGCTTCATCCGCCGCTGCTAAGAGTTTGAGCTGTGAGTTCTCCCAGGTGCGACGTCAATCACTTCCCTCTTCCTTGCCGTCATGTTGTTTGGTGTGCGTGTGGGTTTGAATTTCAGTTCTACGTCAATCACTTCCCTCTTCCTTGCCGTGATATTGTTTGGTGTGCGTGTGGGTTTGAATTTCAGTTCTCCCTCCTCTGTTTTCGACGCTGTGAAAGGATGCATGGAACGTTCTTCTCCCTCTTCCTTGTGCAGTGTCGCAGGTTCTTTCTCCTCCTTCTCTGCTCACGTCGTTGCTGGTTCAAGGTAGGAGATTTGGGATCCTTCTTTTTGGTTATTTCTGCACTCCTAAACACGGTATATTGTCGCTGTGCGTGAGTGTAGTTGCTCTGTGTGTGCGTGAAATTACAGAATTTGTGTGGTTTGTGCTGTCATGCTATTTCAGGGAAGAGATAATTTAAATATGGAGTTGGAATATATATATATATATATATATGGCTGAGTTAAATTAATTTGTTTGGAATGGCTGGTGTTGAAATAATTGTTAGGATGGAAGTGGAAGAGAAAAGTTTAAATGGAATACTTGGAGATTAGTGCTTATGAGATGTTTGTTAGAAGAATTGAACTTTATTTTGAAACTTCATTGATTATTGTGGAAATTAGAGTTAGCTTAGATATTATTAATCTATAAATTTGATTTGAAAGTTGTAAGGGATATTTGACTATGAAATTAATAATATGTGATTATTGTAATTCTTGGAGTTTCAATTTCTTTTTCTTGTGTTCTGTTGTTGCCGTGATTGTTTAAGAAGGAGAAGATTTTAAATTAAGCAGGAAAGGCATATTGAAGCTTGGTAGTGATATATTTGGGTCAGAATTTTTGAGCTTGGATATAAAATTTGAAGAATGATGCCTATAAGATGTTGGTTAAAATGTTTATTAGAGGGAGTGCTTGACTGTGCATTTCCTAAAAATCTCATTAAAATTTTTGGGAGACATAATGGATTTGGATGATATTATTTGGTGAATTGAGGTTGGTATTGTGTAAAACTTTTTGATTATGAAAGTGGTGCCTAACTAGTTAAATCCTTTAGAAGTAGGTAGTTATGGAGAAATTGTTGAGTAATTTACTGGGAGATTTGAAAATAATGTGCATTCGGTGTTTAAAAAAAATATTTAGTAGGAGATTGTATTGTAATAGAGCATTAAGTTATGACTTTTGAGGGATTTTCATGTGTAAAGTCTTGATTTTAAAATTTCAAGTTATTATATAGCTAAATATTGGTTGTGAAATATTGTAAGTAATTTATTGGATTTACTGAAAGTTTATTAAATATTTTATATAAATTATAGGATGTTTGGAAGAGCAGACATTTAATTGAAGTTGAGAGGTAAACTTTTAAATTTTGGGAAGTAATTCAGGTAAGTGGATAGCGTCTCAACTGAATTTTTTTTTCTTTTCAATTAAAATTTTCTTTGCTAAAATATTACGTTTTTCTGAAAATTATTTTAATAGCATTAATGCGATTATTGGATATTTGTTGATTAACATTACTTTATTTTGAGAAATTAGCTTTACCAAATTTGAAATATTATTTGACCAATTAAATCAAGTTTGGACTTTGATTATGAAATTTTTATTTTTTTTTAAATATTGGATTGATACAGAGAATGATTCATGTGAGTTCTACCTTGAAAAATTTTGATTATTCAATAAATGCAAGCATGAGCATTGGATATAAAATTTTATTCTGGCAAGTTTTAATGCTTAAAAGTATTCATGCGAGTTTGATTTTGAGAATGAGAACTGTATCGTGAAAGTGATGATTTCCTTGCATGTTTCAAAGTGGTTTTAAAAAAAAGGGACTTTATACAGAACACTGGTTGCTAACGACAGTTTCGTTAGCCCTTGGCGCGCCATGGTACACCTAGCTAGCAGGGTGTTTATAGGAGGTGCTAGCCCCGTGTGATGGCTAACGCACGTGGAATGGAGAGATGGTTATTCGTGAGCATCGTACTCACGTTTGTTTCGTAGCTTCTGCTGCGTTTGGTTAGAATTACCTTCGTGGACTGTGTGTCCACATTTGTTTTGTGGCTTCGGCTGCGTTTGGTTACTTACCCTCGTGGACTATGTGTCCACGTTTGTTTTCGTGGCAAAAGCCGCATTTGGGTTATCACTCTCGTGGACTATGTGTCCACATTTGTTAATTGTTCTGATAAGTCCCTATAATTATGAATCTAATTATCTGATGATTTCATATTCTATTAGTTTTTATTTAGTAAATTGTTTGTAAATATATTATTTCATATATGTGCTTTCTTGAAAGCAAGTCCTATTAATATTTGCCATGATAGTTCAATGATTTAAGATTTAATTTTAAAATTTTACAGAACTATTCTATTTTAAAGTTTATTACATTTTTTGGAAAGCTGTTGTCTCTTTGACTCACAATTATTTTAAACTTTTTTTCTTTTTATTCAATTTCTATTATTTATTGTTGGGACGTTATTCACTGGAAATTATTATTTTGGTCTCAGATACGTTAGCTGATGTTGTGCCTTCCGCTAATCCTTAAGGGGCTGTAGTATTCAATTGAGATGAAAAGCTAAAATCAAACTTCTTTAAAGTAAATTTCTTATGTCAGGTGCTCCACATAAGCTATAGTTAGGGTCCTCATCCTTATAATTTATACTGTGTTATGTAATGATCGGAAGAGAATTCCTTGCTGCTGCTACTGTTTTGTAAAATATTAAATCTTTTGTTCGTATGTTTGTATTGAGGATGACTTAATTTATTATCAAAGATCTTCATGACTTATAAATTAAAGTTTTCTAAAAAAAAAAAGAAAAAGACTTTTGGAATATGGGTAATATCTCTATATTTTGTGCCAACATGTTCTAATTTCGGGGTGTGACACTTCAGCAGTTTACAGCACGAGAAAATATTAACTCTTCTAATCTACCAACTACTTGTATCACCAACCATCAAAATCAAGTATAATATACCTCAAGAAATCCTAACTATTTAGCTTGCAGATTACTCTTGCAAACCAATTACTCTAAGCGTACTATTCACAACTTTCGTTAACTTACTTCAAATCACTTGACTGATTACCAAAAATCACAACAAAGATTGAAGAATCCATTTACACTAAATTATGTTCTGATTTGGGGATCAATGTATTATGCTTTAAAGGCTAGAGAAAGTTACGTTTCCACAACGAGTTACCAATTTTAATTAAAATTAAACTCTTTCCATTCAGGCATTTTGTCGAACATATACTGTGCACTTTTGTGTAATTGTAACGGAACAATCATTTTAGCATTCAAAAAATTTCTTCCAAATACATACAATCATGAATCAAGGTCCATCAAACCTTGAAAACAACAAATTTACACATAGATCAATAGAAATCACCAATTCCCAATTCATTACAACTAGGGAAAAAGAAGATAGACGAGATGCATTAACTTATTCATGGGAAAGGCAACCAGAAAGTTGATAGTGAAAATACCTATAAAAAGAATCCTAATAGCTTCAATTTTTCAACCAGCAGCCAATTCAATCTCCTCCCCTTTTTGCAATGACAAAGATGGCAAAGAAACTTAGAGGTACCAATCGATTGTAGCAATGCAAGAAGAGAGTTAGGTTGCTTTAGTTAAAAGGAAGAGAAGAAATGAAGAAGAAAGCTGGTGATCACCCCAAAAGCCCATACCTAACACAGCAAAAAATGAGGAGAAAAAGAAAAGAAACTTCACTGATTCCACTAACTGAACACCACACCAGGAATGCAATGGAAAATGAAGGAGGATAAAAGTGAGTTTGATTGATATAACAGTACATATGAGTTAATGTCATTTACTCATTTATACGACTCTATGATTTTGTTTTTTCTTCCTTCCCTGCTGATGTAGATATTAACAGATAAAGAGGGAAAAATAGGTTAATAACTGGAGGGCTTTTACACCACAGTACTTCATATTTAAATTTAAATTACGATTTTCATTATTTCATACGTACATATAATCTTCATCAATTCTGAAGATTTTTAACACTTTAATCGTGTTGATATCACCATTTTCTTAACATTTTACCACCATTTTCAAACATAAGTTGCAAATGATCATTGCAATTTCATGTTTTATCTTTAATAACTAAAATGATTTCCTCCTATTTTCACATTATATATATATATATGTAAGTATGTAATCATGTATATGTGTGTATAAGTTTGTGTTTTTAATTAAAGGAGAATGATATTAAAGTCCCAAAATAGAAATTAATGCTAGTTAGGTCTTCGATAAAATTTTATAAAAAATCAACTGTAAATATTAGTTTAGACAGTTTAAAATTTATGATTTTCAATTGCAAATAAGATATCTAAATTATAAATATAGCTCTTAGTCTGCAATCATAGTTCTTGTTTGCAGTTATTTATAATTTATTTTTTAGAAAATTTTGTTGGGTACTTAACTATCATTAATTCTTTGACTTCATTGTCATTCTCCATTCAACTAAACATATGGAGAAAAATTTCAACATGATGAAGAGAAAATAAAAGGAAGATTGAATTACCGATGAGGCATAGTTTTGCATTCATGATTATGTGTCAATGGCATTTTCTCTCAACTCTTCACGGCATTTGGTAGCTGCATGTACTCTTCAATTTGTTCCTTGCTCGTCAAACGCCACCCACACTTCCTTATTAAAAACATAGGCTGACTCTCACTTTTAGCTCCTTTTTTTCCCTTTGCTTGAGAAGCATTCAAAGGTCCCCATGCTTCAAACCATAAATGAACTTGGTTGCAAGCATTTCCCAAGTAATAGGGAGGCAAAAATAAGAAAAACATATGAGGGCTGTTGCTGCCGTTTAGATCAAGCACATAACCGCACCAAGTTTCATCTACATTTGACTCATGTGAACAATGTGATAAATAGCAATTTTATATATTTTTATCCTTTTAATTTAGACTATTAAATATTTATTTGAAGCTAATTGAGTTTAATTAGATATTATTTAATTTTATTAGCCAATATTCAGTTTTGAAATTTTAACTAACTAAATCTTTGATTTTAAAATATAAATAATATCTTTAATATTTTTTGCACATGTGCTGTTTAATTTTATTTTATTTGTGCAGATTTTTTAAATTTAATTTGGAAGATATTGATAGAGAATATATTGGATAAGAAGAATATGGGCATACTTGAAGATCAAATCAAGAATCAAATCTTTAAACTTTTATTTGAATTTATTTTGGGTTATTTAGTGTAATTTTCAATTAGAGTTATTTAAAGTAGTTTTATCATTTTATTATTAGCTTTTTTTTGGCCGTACGCATCATGCATTATGTATATATAAAGCAAGAAATGGAGATTGAAAAGGGGGCACATCTGAAGAAAATAAAAACACGGTTCTTTGGCGGGGAGGAGAAAGCAGAGGCAAGCACGCGGGCAATCACTCTTCGTCTTTGTCTTGTCTTTAATTGCTTCAGGCGATGCTTCTTGTTCTCAATTTTCACTTGTTATTGTCCAGTTTTCAGTTCTATGAAGAGCTAATTTTCTTAGTGTGATCAATCACAAACCATGATCTTAAATTTTAATCAGAGTCTTTGATATTTAAGGAAGAATTTATTTTAGCTTTATTCCAATTTACTCTTCCTCTCTTTACCTCTGAATTTTATGCTTTAATTGCTATTGCTGATTGGAGTAGTTTTATTGCATGATTTTTAAGTTATAAATTTTATCTGAGGTTTTGCTTGCTATGATCGATTGATATAGCATTGTAAGAGTAATTTGGCTTGGCTTGGGTGATTATCCATGCTTTGTTTCTGGTATGGCTAACATAGAACAGTTGTTAGGCTGTGGGTTAAAGGAGATCTCAATTAATCTATAACTTAATCTCTTGTTTAATTCTTGAATGATAATTTGAGAAATATATAATAAAATCAGAATAATAAAGGTAAATAAAATTAAGTTAATTTGTGGATGAGGAAGATTAAGTTTAGGTGATTGGGTTGTGATTGATTGCGTTGCTTGTTCTTGATAATTTTCTCAGTTGAATTCCCCTATTTATTTAATTCTAATTTAGTTTTAACTTCATAGAAACCCCCCCAATTTTTTAGCTTTTCATAACCATAATTCAAATAGTTACTCTATTGACTCTTAGGGAGACGACCTAGGTTGCGCTTTACTGCAAAATCTAGTTTTTATTAATTTTGGTGCTATTCGACAGTAGTGTTACAATGATAAATAGAAAACAAACTATTTGGTTTTCTAGAATTCACTGGCGCCATGTCTTGTATCACAAGGCAAATAGAAATTCCCTACATTTCACTTGAATCACGAAAATGAGAGATGTTTACCTTTATGCACGTTTTCTCATTGTCAAGAAGATCAAGATTTTGATTATGGAACCATAGTGGGATTTCACTCCCCGAAATGTACAAACAAAATTTTCTCTCGTTTGCTAGCCAATTTGGTTGAAAGTTAGGTGAAGAAAGGAACCTCCACATCACCTCTAGAAATGATGGGGTTTTCACTGAGGGATGACAACAAATGGCATTTAAAAATTCCATATGTGGTGGGGTATTTGGCAGTGATAAAAGTCCATTGCAATGATCCAAGCAAAGAATTTCTAGAGTCAAGAGATTAGAGACAAAAGCAGACGGTAGGTTAGTAAAATTGTTTCTAGATAGATGTAATGCTTTCAAGGATGACAAGCGACTAAGATCATCAGGGATTGAACCATCACAAAAATTACAGTTTTTCAAATTCAATTCCCTCAATGAAGACAAACTTAAGAATGAAGGGCTAAGAATGCAACTTCCAGAAGGTAAGTTGCCAAAATCATTTCCATTAAGATCAAGGATCTCCAAAGATGGAAATCAACCAAGATCATTTGGAACAATTCTAGAATTGAGATTGCAGTTTTTTAGCTTTAATTCCTTTAATGAGGATAAACCTGAGATAGAAGGAGGTAATTTTAAACTCATAGGAGCTTCATAACTAGTAAGCCTAAATACCTTTAGAATTTGGGAAAGTAAATTTGGTGATGACCCTAATGCAGACCACATACATCCATTTGCATATAATTTTCTTAAATCTTCTAGACTGTTGATGGATGAAGGTATTTCTTTGATAGCAGTTCCCCTTATATCAAGCTCCTCGATGCTCTCATTTTCACCCAAATTGTCTGGCAGAGACAATAATTTTGAGCAACCAAATATGTTGAGAGTCACAAGAGATTTTAGATTACCAATAGAACATGGAAGCCTTCCAAGAGTTTTGCAATCCTTCAAATCAAGCATTGAAAAATATTTCATGTTTTCTCCAAATTCAGGAAGCTTCTTCAATTTTGAGCAGCCTGAAAGAGTCAATTTCTCCAAGGAATCCATATCTAGTCTATTAGGAAGGGATTTAAGATTTATGCAATCTGTCAAATTCACCATGACAACTTTCTTATGTTGCCCAAGTGATGGATGAACCTTCACAAGTTTTATACAACCTTCAAGTACTAATCTCTCAAGATTCGGTAGTGTTGAAAAATCAGGACTTTGAATAAGATCTTTAGAATAGCTTAGATTAATGAACTTTAGCTTTTTAGGCATCTAGTAAACATAAATAACAACAGAATATTAGATTTTGCAAAACCTAAAATGATAACTTTGATTAATAAAGCTAAATCAAGATATTGCAAAAGTACTCTTACTTGTGCTGCACACCAAGGTTGTATGATCTTACTCCAACACATTTCAAGCTGACTTAGTTCATTCAACTGAGATCCAAGTGGGAGCCACTTCAATGGATATTTCTCCCATTTAATAATCTTTAATGAACTAGGAAGAGAATTGAAGCCACAGGGAAGGCACACATCACATGATATGATTAGTATTCTGAGATTAAACATCATTGAGAATGCTCCTGAAGCCCAACTTCCTTTGTATTGTATAGGGGATTGAAGATGTATAACTTCAATTGAATTAGTGCCCTAATAACAATAACGAACTAATTATTTAAGGATTAGGAAAAAGGTAAAGAATCAATAGAAAATTTGGGAAATTTAAAAATTAAATAATAATATCTCATACAGACTAAAAGAAACTTACTTTTGTTTTTCGTCAATACTAGATTTATGTCCTCTTTTGACCATAACCTGCTACGTCTGCCAACATCACCTGGTAATTCCTCAAAAACAATACACTTACCCATTTCTTGTAATATATCATGCACACCCAAACATAATGTACCATCATTGTTGTGAAATTCAATTAGCATGCATTTGTCTATAAGTTCTGAAATTTCAATTATTGGATGAAAACCACAAATTTCTAATATTTCCATTACTTTAACCTTGGGCATTCCTTTGAAGAAGCATGCAATATCCAAAAATATATTTTTCTCCATAGGATCTAATACTTCGTAACTTATTCGAAGCCTATTTAGAATATCATTTGGTGGAAATTTCTTCATCTTCTCTATAGCATCTTTCCACACAACTATATTTCTTTCACAAAGAAGACACCCCAACACTTCTAGTGTCAAAGGAAGGCCACCAGCAAGTTCAACAATAATTTTAGACAACTCCAAATAATCTATTGTTGGTTGATCACTTTTAAAAGCTTTTTGACAAAAGAGTTGAAGAGATTCTTCATCATTCAATAGCTCTGCTTCATATATTTCAAACTCTCTATGTGCTGTCAATAGCTGCTTATATCTAGTTGTCGCTATTATTCTACTTCCTGGGCCCATCCAAGCTTGCTTTATTGCAAGGTACTCAAGTTGGTTCATTTCACTTATATCATCCAATACTACTAAGACTTTCTTGATGCACATAAGGCTTCTCATCATCTTCATTCCTTCATACGCATCATGAAGTTCCATCTCTGTCAACTTCACATCACGTAAAAGAAAACTTTTTTGCAAGCGAACCAATCCCTTCATTTAAGAGACTTCCCTAATATCCGCAAAAAAGTAACAAAGATCAAACTGGTCACAATATCTCTCATAGATAACTCTTGCAAGGGATGTTTTTCCTATACCGCCCATCCCCCAAATTCCTAATAAACGAACATCATTCAATCCTATCCTCAAAATTGAATTAATTTCTTCTATCTTTGACTCCAATCCAACAAATTCATTTTTGAAACATGGTAAGCTTGGCTGTAGTTTTGTCCATACACCTACTACAATTTCTTCAATGAATTTTGTTTCCACCCTACATAAAAGAGAAAATTGGTAAAAGTCTGATAATTGATATTCTCAAATCAATGTAATATCTATAGATAATAGAAAATTTATTTGAAACTACTGTTTTCAAATCATGACACAATGCCACATTTCTTAGACTCTATGCAAAATGTTACCCACAATCTAATTTTTGTAAAAATAGGATTACAAAACCAGAAATAACAGTAAATAAAAGAACATGCATATACAGTATTTCTCGTTTAAGGTACTTACATCATTTAAAATAATTTTAACTTCTGTCGTGCTTGAAGTGTATTAATCATATAGTTGATACATCATTCATTTTTTGTAATATCATTTGTTAAATATTTGGTTGTTCGGTAAGGATAATTACTCAACATTTTAATCACAGTGTGAAACAGAGAAGCAAAATTTAACAGCGATCAGATTATACAGAAATGCTTATATCAAATTGTGCACAACTGTCGTAACTTTATGATGTTGATATATATGCTTCAAAAACCTTTATCGGAATTTATTTATCCCTATAGAATTGAATTAACTTTATGCTCGGTATGCATTCTTTTTAAAAAAAAAAATTATTTTGACAGCAAGGTAAAAGAAAGTCACAAACTCATTAGATCTCAAAACTCATAAACTGAAATAAATCTAACATACCGATCTTTAGAATGATAGCCAGCTATATTTGCAACTTCTTCTAAAGCATCTCTCCATCTTTGCACCTTCTTTTTGTCATCATGAAATCTTTCACTATGTTTTTGAAAGGCATCAGCAAAGGCTCCCCTTTGATGTCGTACATCAGACGGATCAATATTATAGAACACTGGGATGACTTGTCTATTGAAAGAAACTCTGGACTCAAGAATCCTTTGGAGTTCATCCAAACACCAAGTAGAAAAAGCATAATTTTGGGAAAGAATAACAAGAGAGAAGAGAGAACCTTTGATTGCTTGAAGTTGTTGAAGGGAAATAACATCTCCTCTATCAAGCTCATCATCTATGAAGGTTATGATACCCCTTTTTTGCAGAGCAGCATGTAAATGGGCTGTGAAGCCTTTTCGGATGTCTTCTCCTCTGAAGCTCAAGAAAACATGATACTTCCATGTTGGGATTGTCGAGTTCAAGGAAGACGAGTAACAGGCAGCTTCAACAGTAGCATCCATTGAATAAAGGCTTGTGGGTTTTTTTCAGAAAAGAAAGGAATTAAGGCGAGAGCGCTGTAGAAGGAAATAGCTCTTCAGCCTAGTAAGTTTGCATATACATCTAACTCGGATCAGTCAACGATGGGGTTGTTTTTACAAGGTCGACAAGGAAAGTGGGTGGAAACTTCTTTTAAGAAAGTGGACAGTTAAGTAATAAGAAGTTGCCACCTCTTTTGCTTTTGATTTTGTGTAGTAAAGTATTTGCTTTAACAAGGTGATGTTGGTATATTCAGACTCCACTTAAAGGGCTCGCGCATTCCGTATCACCTACTCATCATGGGTGGCTTAATTGCAGCCTCTCTTTTGATTTTAAAATGATATATGTCATTTATTTAAATTAATTTTTAAGTATTTTTAAATATTATAATTATTAATGTAAAAATTACAAAGAGTTTAATGTTCGGGTTAAGGTTAAATTTTATCTTTATATGTATTTTTCAGTAGTGCAGGGCAATTTGAGCTAACAAGTAGGATAATTTTTTTTTTTTAAGTGTTCTTTAAAAGAGAAAAATTCTCTTTCTATCTTCTTTTTTCCCCCCTTATGTGTCATGGCATGAGAGCCAAACAACTTAGCAGGTATATAGTCAAACCCTCTTTTGACCCTCCAACGTGGAAAATCTGAAGGAATCGTTTGTTTTCTTCGTTCTTCTCGTTCCATTTCCAACTGTCACTGGAATCGAAGACTCCATTTCCAACAGTCCCAGGCAACGGTCTTACATCAACCCTCATTCTAAACACCATCCCTCTCACCCCTTTCACTTTCTCTGTGGTCAAAATCAATCCCAGATCTAGACAAGAGCAAGATGGCTGAGACCGGAAACTCCCAGAGCTGTAGACTCAACATCTCAAAAATTTTCGTCACGAGTTGAACAATAAGTTCAAAATAAATACTATAAACTTCAGTTCCAGAGACAAAAACTAACAGTTTTGAAGATGATAGGACAACTGGTAGCGGTGGAAGGCGTTTTGCGACGACGCAAGACGAGTGGCGACTTCGGGAGAAGAAGAGGCGACCCTTGAAATGTTGATAGCGGACTCAGTGTGACGAACGGACGACAACTTATATGCGGCAGACGGTGACGAGCTTTCAGCAGACGGCGATGACATGCGGCGGACGGCACTAACTCTTTTATGAGAAACCACTCTGTTAAAGCAAATTTATATCATTTTATTTTTAAAATTTAAATAAATATTTATTAATTCGAGTTAGTTTTCTGTTAATCGAGTTTTAATAATAATTCATTTGGATTTAATTTTTATTTGAGTTTTGATAACAACTTAATTTTGATTGATATAAATTTAAGATTCATGTTTAATTTTATCCCTATATTTAAATTTTAAGAAAATTAGGCATCCTATATTTTTAAGTGGAATAGTTTTATCCTTAAAATATTTTTTTGAGAAATCAAAAATCTCTTCTATTAATCAACTATTAAGCTTTTTATTTTTTGTTAATGTGACAAGTGTATGGGTCCACGCATAGTGACATGTTGACTATTTTCTTTGGTACTATTTTACTTTTAAACTCTTTTTATAAGAGCATTAAATACCTTAAAATTTTTTTTTAAAAGCATTGACACCTTGAACCCTTATCAAAATAAAATTTAATAAATTTTGTTAAAATATTAAGTATTTTATTTAAAACATTACACCACTCAATTTAATATTTTAATTTTTTTATATTCTACAATTTTACATTAAAAATGAAGGGATGAACTTTCAAACTAATGAAAGAATTTTTTTCTTCTCATCTCACCATTTTTCTCTTGTTAATTAACTCTTTTATAGCACATTAATGGAATAAGTAATATCTTTTAAATTAATATTTTTGTTCACATATTGCTGGTCCTGATTTATCATGTTTTTAATTTTACTTCTAACACTACAATATATAGAGAGTATTAAATTTGGATAGTATAATATTTTGAAAGAAGATTGTTAGTTGGCTAAAAAAATTACAAAAATGACTTAAAAATATAAATAAGTTTTGGCACGCACAAAAGACGTAATGATTTAGGCATTATTTTATAAAGAAGATTGGACATTAATATATAAAAAATAAGAAATTATCTATACATTTATAAAATGTTAGTTTGAGTTGTTAATATTTTAAAACTAATTTATAAATAATAATTTTTAAATTATTAAATATGAAAATATTTAATATTTTAACAATGCTTATTAAATTTTATTTTAATAAGATTTCAAGATAGACCATGCTAAAAAAAAAAAAAGACTTTGGGATGCCCAATGCTCTTGAAAAAAAGTCCAAGTACAAATAAGCACCAAAAGATATGATCAAAGTTTTACATGTTACTGTGTGTGAGTCTCACATACATTCACGCCAGTGAAAAATGAAAAACTTAACAGCCTCCTCATAGAAGAGTGTTTTAGACCTTGAAAAAATACTTCTAAAAAAATTATTCCACTTAAAAGTATATGATGTTTAACACCCCTGAAAAATACACAAAATGGATAAAATTAAACATTAACCCATAAATGTACTTGAACAATTGATTATTATTTTCCCTTCCTTAAATGTTACAAGGTCGGCCACAGGACCAAAATGGGTTAGAGTGTCCTAGCTGTCATAAGAGTGGGCTCCATTGATATGCCACGTTAGCAAAAATGGAGGAGATAGATAACCCAATTGGTAGAAAGGCTTTTTGCTCTAATTTAAGAAAATTAACCCATGTATTAATATAAAGTGTCTCGCACTCCTCAAAATACATACAAAAATAAAATTAAATATTAACACTTAATGTTAACTCTATGTCGTCTTCAGTGCTCATCAAAGAATAAGCACCATGATACTCATTTCTTACCAAACTTAAATCATTTAAATTTAAAATTTTTTATTTTACATTTATTAAATTAAAAATTTTTAAAATATAAAAATTTAATAAATTTGTTCATCGCAAATCTGATCAGTGCAGATTTAATGTGAACAATCAAATTTAAAATTAATTTTTTTTATAATTTTATAATTTGATAATTCAATTGTAGTCTGAACAATTCAGATATAATTTAGATAACTCAATTTAATATTAAAAAAATTATAAATTTTACTAATTGACCATTTAGATATGCTCTGTATAATTCAGATTTAATATTAATTTGTATATTAATAAACACAATACATAAAAGTATTTAAAAATTAATTCAAATAAATGGCATATATTATTTAGAATAAAGTGGAAGGCCCAGATTGAGCCACACTTGATCGGCACGCGACTTGCGGACACCTACTGAAGGAATTGATCTAATAAAATCAGAGAAAGAGGCCTTGATTTAACATATTAGCCACGCGCACTGTTCAAGCTCAGCTTGCCTTTCTCCCCACACACAAAAAACAACTCAGTTTAAATGAATGAAAACATATTTTTAGGTGAACTTGAAATAACAACAACAACAACAACAACAATTTAATATAACACTGTAGATTTGAAGTCATATTGCTATAATTAATTCAGTTTTACTCATAATTGTTCTTTTAAACATTGAACTATTTTTTATGGGTATAAATGTGCGGATAGTTTTGAATCAAAATACCTGATTTATTTAAACATAAATGTTATCCAAAAATCATTCAAGTTATACAAGAAAAGTTTAATAAACATATTTTATATGTTTAGTTTTATTCATGTTTAAAAAAATTTTAGTTATGCAAACTCTTTATCTAATTAGTCTTGGTTTAAAAAAATTAAATGCATAAGTTGAATAAAATAATATTTTGAAATTGTATTAGCTGCAGGTGGAATTGGCGGATAGCCAAATTAAAGTAATGGCCTCAAAAATCATTCAAGTGCATCACCTCTGTGAGATTCCACAGTGGTGTTAGATTTTGCCAATTCTTCATTAGCAATTCTTCATTTTAATCCTCTGGCTTAAGTGTATGGGTTAAATATCAAATTCATATTGATTAAAACAATTATTTAAATTAATTATTTGTAAAAAAATGTATATCAGTTTCCCTTAAATATTCACTTTTTTAATAATTTATATTCATAGGATCAAAATAAACTCATCACTTTCTATATTTAAGATTAGAGAGGGTACTGTTATTTATCTTGAACTCTCCATTTTCTCGTTGGCCTTGTGAATTTAACTCAATAATAATTATCTTATGTTGACTTAATTAATGCTTTTACCAATTTTAACCAAAATTTTCATATAGAAACAAAAATGGACAATGTCAATTAAAAATGGACCCAATAAAAATTAGAATGAGATGGTGTCAAAGTATTATTGGGCTTTCAACAAAATGAATGGGTTTGGCCAATAAAATGCATAGGCTAATGCAAACAAAGTGGTGTCAGAATTTTTTAACCAAAAAAAAAGAAAAGAAAAATTAACGGTGACAGAAAACAAAGAAAAATATTGGTTAAGGTTTGTGTCAAAAAAGATTGACAAAGGCAAAGAGGGTTAAAAACACAAGAAAATAAGTAAGTAAATAAAGGATAAGCAGCATTGTATCGTTTCCCAAAAAATAAAAAAATTAAAAAGAAAAAAGAAATTGAGCTTATTTCACTTTTGTATATTGATTGTGGCTGTAATTTTTATTTTTATTTTTTTGGTTTTAACATAAGTCAATCTTTTTAAAAAAGTAAAGCGATTACGGCATTAAAAAGTCCAAGGAATCATGAAACAAAATGATTGTGGCTATACATATTTTATGCACAAATAAGAATTACAAATATTATCAGTCAGCAGATGCCATCTCTATAACTATCAAAAGAAAGTATTAAATAATTAAATAAAAAACTGAGAGTACAAGAACAAGATGTGGCCAACAAGGAAAGAGCACAGTAATAGCAAAACAAGACCCAGAAAACACAAACCAAGTTTCGAGCAAAAAGTTCCATTGAGTTGAAGAAATAGAAGCCAACCAGGGGAATTTGCTAAGAAAGACCAAATGATAAATTAATTATTTGAGTAAAAGGACCAAGTTACTTCATGCATATAAATTATAATTGAATGAGAAAATACATGTGAAAAAAAAAAGAGCATAGATCATAATTTACTTGAAAGATCTTGATCCTTTTACTCAACTAAGTGAATGACTATACCATCAGTTTCTTTTCCGCAATTTCCCCAGCCATTAACGTGCTCTATCCTCTTGAATCACTTATATTATAGACTCTGCAAATATATACAATGTTTCACACTACTAATTTGGAAGGCTCGTGCATTAATTTAAAATAAATACATCAACAAAGAAGGCACGTGCTGGTGTTGTTCTCTCTCTCTCTCTCTTCCCCCATTGCTGCCTATGTTACTCCCAGATTCTCTGTGAAACAAGTAAAATCTATGTCAATACAACATATACAATCTATAGTAGCATAAATAGTGCGACCTATACTTAAATTCTATACAATGGGAGAGAATACATGTTTAATTATATTCAATAAAAAGTTATAACACAGAAGTGAAGGTGAAAGCACCAAATTTGATCATATAATTAACCTCCAAATATATATATATATATATATATATATGTATATAGCAGCTTTCAGTATTAATAATTTATACATCCATTTATTTTTCGTCAGTATACCGAAATTCAAATTTTTTATGTTCTCCATGTTACAAATCTCTGCTATTTATATTTTTTAAAGCGTTGGTTTGTAATATTTTGCAATAGTATTATTGAGATTTGTTAGAATTTCAAAATGAATAAATTTAAATAATTAAAATTTAATCCTGAGAGGAAGAAAAGCGAAAGAGATCCAGAGAAGTTTGATTAAGAGGTTCAATCATATATTGAAATTTAACAATACCTGCGTTCCTGGTCTCTAAAAGCAGCATTCAAGGCACCAATTTTATTCTTTTCACTGTATTTCGTGCCTGAAGTTATTTATTTCTTCATTCATAGAAACAAATTAAAAACAATTATTCATCTAATTGACAGCTACAGATCCCAATCTCTATTAACAGAAGATTTCATGATCTCCAATTATGTCAAGAACATTAAAATATTATCAGCTCCTACTGTATCAGGAGTTATGTATTATTTTTCTGTCTAACATGTTAGCATTTCCCCAAACTACTGCTGAACACATGAATTTGAATCCGTGAAATATAAATTGGTTCATAACTTAAAATATGCATGAAGACCATGACAATTTTTTAGCTCTTGCTTATGAGTGAACGTATATATATCTGTCTATATGCAAGTATTACTATAACTTGAAATACAAATGGAAAATAAAGATTTCAAAAGGGGGAGAAACTAGAAAGAAGATGTAGAGTTACCAATGAGGAGTAGCCACTTGAGTTTATAATTCTGTTTCAGCATCTTCATGGAATCTGGAGCATGCTTGCATTCTTTGATCTCTGCCACTCCTCAATGTCTTCCTTGCTTGTCACACGCCACCCACACTTTCTTATTAAAACCAAACCTCTACTTCTAGGCCAGAACCTTGCAGTAGTAAATATTAACTCAACTTGATTGTATTCCTTGGGCAGAAAACCAGAAGGAATAAACACAATACATAGATGAGGATCATAGGCTTCCAAATAAGTCTCCCAACTAAAACCCCAGTCATATTTCTTGCGTATTAAATTATCACGATCAGTTTCATAACCATAATAAATGGCAAGGCGATGGTCTAGGTTTCTAGCATTTGTTGGCACTATGTCTTGTAGTACAAAGCAAAGAGAAATTCCCCACTGTTCACTTGAACCACGAAATCGAGAGAGATCTGCTTTTATGGATACAATGCAGTGAAACTGAAAAGAACCAATATTCTCTTTGTCCATGGCAAATTGACGTGATTGATAAACACGTTCGGTGGAAGAAACTTCAATCTCGGCCAAGAAATCAATGTTTTGATTATGGAACCATGGTGGGATTTCACTCCCTAGACTTATATAACGAATTGGATAAGGTATTCCAGTTGATGGCCTGTTTGAAAAATAGTAAGATGAAGAAAGGAACCCTAGAAATGATGAGGGTTCCATTAAAGAATGGCAACCTATGGCACTTATATATCCTACATTGGGCGGAACAACTGGCAATGATAAGAGCCTGGTGCAACTATCCAAAGTAAGAGATCTTAGAGCTAAAATATTTGAAACAAAGCCAGAAGGAAGAGTAGTAAATTTGTTTCTTCCAAGATCTAGTACTTCCAAGGATGATAAGGACCTAAGATCATCAGGGAGTGAACCATCATAGAGATTACAATCTTTGAGACCCAAATATTTCAATGAGGATAAACCTGAGAATAGAAGAGGAAGAATGCAACTTCCAGAAGGTAGGTGGCTAAAATCATTTCCACTAAGATCAAGTAGCTTCAAAGATGGTAAACACCCAAGATCATTTGGAATTGATTCGACACTTAAACTGCAATAACTTAAATTCAATTCTCTCAAAGAGCATAAAGTTGAGATTGAAGGAGGCAACATCAAGCTTAAAGCAGACTCATATCTATTGAACCCAAGCATGTTTACAATTGGGGAAAGTAAATTCTTTGATGAATCATGTGAAAAACCTCTACACCCATTTGCATTTAGTGTTCTCAAATGTTTTAGACCAACAACACATGATGGTATCTCTCTTATCGCAGTTCCACTCACATCAAGCTCCTCTATACCCTTATTTTCTTCCAAATTGTTTGGCAGTGAAACCATTTTTGAGCAACCAGAAATGTTGAGGTTTTTGAGAGATTTTAGGTTTCTTAAAGAACTCGGAAGGCATATAACATTTTTACAATCTTTCAACTCAAGCATTGATAGGCATTTCATATTTTCCCCAAATTCAGGAAGCCTTTTTACTCTTGAGCAGCCAGAAAGGATCAATGTCCTTAGAGAATCCATTTCCACTTTTCCAGGTATAGCTTTAAGATTTTTGCAATCTCTCAAATTCACTTCAACAATTTTCTTATGATATCCCAGTGAAGGATGAACCTCAACAAGTTTTATGCAGCCTTCAAGTATTAGATGCTCAAGATTTGAAAGCATTGAAAAATTAGGAGTTTGAATTAGATCTTCTGAATAGCTTAAGTCAATGAGCTTTAACTTTTCAAGCATCTGTTCAGACACACAACAAAGAAAAATATTAGATTTTTTGAAATTTGAAATGCTAATGTTGATTAATATGGAAAAGGTATCTAAAGCTATTATTGCTAAATCTTCTTACCGGAGTTTTTTTCCAAGGTTCTATGAGTGTGCTATGATGCATTTGGAGGTAAACAAGTTCATGAAGTTGAACATCAATTGGAATATATTTCAATGGATACTTCTTCCATTCAAGAACTTTTAATGAACTAGGAAGACATTTGAGTCCATGGAGAAGATGTACATCACATGATATGATAAGTATTCTGAGATTACTCATCTTTGAGAATGCATCAGGAGCCCAACTTGCCTCATATTGCATGGGTGAGTCAAGATATATGACCTCAATTAAATTGGTTCCCTGACAAATAATAATAACCATGCACAATTATGTCAAAATCAAGAACAAAGTAAGCTATAAATACAAATTTTGAAACAAAAATGACATATATATAATAAAGTATCTCGAGTAGCTTGAACTTACTTCATTGTTTTTCAATACATGATTAATGTTTTCTGTTGACCATAGTCTGCTGCGTCTACCGACATTAGCTGGTGATTCCTCAAAAACAATATATTTACCCATTTCTTGTAATATATCATGCATATTCACTTTATCACGTCTGCCAATCACTAATAAGGATTTCTCAACAAGTCTTTTGATTCCTATTGTTGGATGAAAATCACAAATTTCCAATATTCTTATCAATTCATCTTTACACATTCCTTTGAAGAAGCATGCAATGTCTAAGAAAATCTTTTTCTCCATATTATCTAATGCTTCATAACTCACTCGAAGCACATTTATAATGTCACTAGGTGGACATTTCTTTATTTTCTCCAAAGCGTCTCTCCACTCTGCAATAGTTGCTCCATAAAGATGACAGCCTAGCACTTCAAGTGTCAAAGGAAGGCCTCCAGCAAGCTGAACCACACTCTTAGACAACTCCAGATAATCTTGAGTTGGCTTATCACTTTTAAAAGCCCTTTGACAAAAGAGTTGAAGAGATTCTTCATTGTTCAATAATTTTGCAGAATATGTTTCAAATTCTCCATGTGTTGCCAGTAACTGTTTATCCCTAGTTGTTACTATTACTCTACTTCCAGGACCCAACCATGTTGACTTCATTCCTAGGTATTTAAGCTGGTTCATCTCACTTACATCATCAAGTACTATTAAAACTTTTTGATTAAAGAGAAGGCTCCTTATGATCTTCATTCCTTCATATTCATCGTCAAATTCTATACTTCTCAACTTCCCACAACGTGAAACAAATTTTCTTTGCAATGGAACACATCCTTCCTTTTGACAAACATCCCTAACATTAGCAAAAAAGTAATAAAGATCAAAATGATTACAATTTATCTCGTAGATAGCTCTTGCAAGGGATGTCTTGCCGATACCGCCCATACCCCAAATTCCTAAAAAGCGAACATCATTCAATCCAATCTCTAAAATTGCATTCACTTCTTCAATCCTTGACTCCATTCCTACAAGTTCAGTTTTGTAACAATATGACATGTGAGGCTGTAGTTTTGTCCATACACTTGTGACAATTTCTTCAATTAACTTTGGTTCAAGCCTACATGAAGGAGAATATTTAAAAGAAGTTAATTGCTATTGTCAAGACCAAAAATAACAATAAATTCAGCCTCTTTAAGGAGAGACAAACATGCATACGCAATATTTCTCTTTATGATTTTCTTATATCATTTTAAGGAGAAGTATATTATATAATACATACATTATTCATTTTTCATAAAAACATTTATCAAGTTATTACTTCTTTGAGAAGGAACTCTCAAAATTTTCATCATAGTGAGATTGGAAAAGAATAACAAAACTTAAATCTTACCGATAATATGGAGCGTTATATATTAAATTATGGTGCTTTAATTTATAAATATTAAAATATGCACAAACGTTGTAACATGGAGTAAACTATAATAATCTCTGTTGAGGTTTACTTAAATTAAATTGATTCTGTTTTCGACATAGGATAAATACACACACACACACACACATATCGTGCCAAAACCGCTTTACGGAATTTCTTTTCCAGCGAAGTTAACTTTATGCTCAAAGCGCTTTCTAGTTGAAAAGAAAATTTTCTGGCATGAAAAAGAAAATAAAAACATGGACTATTAGATCTTTACAATAACTGAAGTATACGTGGTCCACTATTATGTGGAAAATTAACTGCAACTACAAATTAGTAAATTGGATAATAAGGTACATGTGTAATATAATATTAGATAGATAGATGGATTATGTTTTTAAAACAGGAAGTATTTCATATAATTAAGGTAAATTTGAAGGTCAACCACAGTAATTATTCCTTACTCCTATTGTTGTTCATGTAGATCTAAAATTAAAATTCATAAACTGAAATACGTGAAACTTACTGATCCGCAGAGTGGTAGCCGGATATATTTGCTACTTCTTTCAAGGCATGTCTCCATCCTTCTACCTTCTCTTTCTCTTTAGAATATCTTTCAAAGTGTTTTGTGAAGGAATCTGCAAAGGCTCCTATTTGATGTCTTGCATCAGATGGATCTATATTATAGAACACTGGGATGACGTCTCTTTTCAATGATTCTCTTGACTCAAGAATCTTTTGGAGTTCATCCAAACACCAACTCGAGGAAGCATAATTCTGGGAAAGAATGACAATGGAGATGAGAGAATCCTCGATTGCTCGAAGGAGTTGAAGGGAAATAACATCTCCTCTCTGAAGCTCATCATCTATGAAGGTTATGATACCCCTTCGTTGCAAAGCATCGTGTAAATGGGCTGTGAAGCCTTTTCGAGTGTCTTCTCCTCTAAAGCTCAAGAAAACATGATGCTTCCATGGCTGGATTTTCGAGTTCAAAGAAGAGGAAGAACAAGCAGCTTCAACAATAGCATCCATATTTGAATAAAGGTTTTTTGAGTATTCACAGAAAAAATTGAAGGCAAGATGGCGATGTACAGTGATAGAGATTCTCAATAGATTAAGCTTGCATCCATATGTTTTTCTAATTAACTTCAATAATTTGGTCAACAAAAGTTGGTGGAGCCTGTGAGTGATTGGCCTTGGAAGGTGGGTGGAAAATTGGCTTATGAGAAAGTGATGTACTAATAAATTCATAAGTTTCCGTGTCTTTTCATTTTGATTTTGTTATCACTGTAACTGGGAAAATGAGTGAGGTGAATTGGGGGAAAAAAAATTCAGTTGAACTGTAAATTATGGGGCCGTTAGTTTTTGAGAAATGTACTAGTAAAATAATAAGTTGACTTGAATATTATTAAATTTATCTTAAAATTTAATAAGTTTAATTTTGATGAGGAGGTATTTTACAGATATTTATATAATATTTTTGCTCTTATATTGACTATTTAATGCATGAATTTAAGATTAAATAAAATACCTTACCTAAAGATTCTAGTGTATTTTTAGGAAAAGGAGACAAAACAACATACAAAATGTTTTAAAATGCGAAACCCATGGTCAAGGGCCATGGAATCAAGAGAAAAAGACTCATCTGCTCATGAACAAGCGTGTGAAGATCTGCTTGCTGATGTAACTCACAACGGAGATTCTAAGCCATTTGACACTCGACGGCACACGAATATGACCAAAATAAGCACGATCACATGAGGACAAAGGAAGCAGAACAAAAATTATATTTTAAAATATTTTAAATCAGACATCCTCATATCTAATGATATAAAGAGTGATTTGGACCAATTCTAAGCCTATGGGGGTGTAATTTAGTATAAATAAATCTCCCAAAAGCCTCTTAACATATTCAATCTCATATTAGAAGGCTAGAAAGCATATTATAGATTTTGGAGAAGTCTTTCCAGCCGGGAGCTTTCTCTATTCTTTTTTTTTAGATTCTTTTTACGTCTTTTATTTGGGATTTTAAGTTTGATTCTATGAGTTCTTGCTAAACTTCCAGTCAAGGTAGGGAGTAGACTTGCTGCAATGAATTTTGTTCTTTATTTAGTTTTGCTTAATTTTCTCGTTGAACATTGATTTTTCTCTATGAGAATTTATGTTTGCCTTTATATTTATCTATATTGTTTTAATCACTTTTTATATATGTTGCCAGTATATAATCTATTCATGCATTCTTTGATAAATTGAAAGATGAAGAACTTACCTAGATTTAGAGAGATAGACATAGATAACTAAATTAAGTATAATTTAGAAGTTTGTGGTGACTTAAATCATACCTTCACAATTTAGTTAGAAAGTAGATTCTAGTGAGAGCTAGATTTAACTCTAATTAAATGCATTCTAATCTACTGGAAGGTAGTTATAACATCTTAGAAACAATTGTCACTATAAAAGAAGGGGAGATAATTAACTGAATTATAATAATCCTTCTTGGTAGGTGAGTCATAATCCTGGCATTTGTTTGACTGGTTGGTTCATTGTCTCATCGCGTTTATCGTTTTCTTATTTAATTTAAATACTTTTCAAAATTATTATTTGTTTTCTTAAATAACAAAGATCACTATCTTCCTTTGGATTTCACTCCTGAAATATACCAGGAATTATTAAAATATCAATCTCTTGCACTTGCAAGACCGATCAAATTTGCACCCCTACCTACTAATAAGGACAAAAAAATTGTTTTTATCAATTTTTCCAAGCATATTTAGTAATCGAAGAAAGATAAAAATGAATATAAAAAATAATTAAGTGCTTTATAAATATGATCAAAATTAATCTTTCATCTCTACTTTATAAATAGGACCGGGTCTAATAATATTCACTAAAAAATTTGTATGCAAACACCAAAAAAGATAAAAAGCACTAAATTAGATCCTCACTTAACCTCCTGAATTCTGCACTTGTGATTTTAACATTTAAATACGTGCCGGTACTTATTTTTCTTTCACGCCCCAAAATTTAATTTTAGATTGTTCAGGTTATTGTTATAATTGACTTTTTAATAATTATCAATTAATTAATTACACTTTCACGGTAAAGAATGCTTCCCCAGTTTGTAGGAGTGCATGATTCTCAAAAATCTAACAAATGTTACGCTGATCGCTTAGGGCTTAAGCATAGTTTACAAGATTTTAGAATCTTAAAATTAAACAATCTTGAAATGACCAAGAACTTGAAAAATGGAGGAAGAAGAGAGAAATTTAGTGAAAAGAAGCTAGATTAAGAGGTTCAAGTAGTAACATATATTGATTCTTTTCACTTTTAATGTTTTGGATCAACCATTGGTTTGTTGGGTTAGTTCCTTGAAAGTTTGTAGGAACCTGCTTCTTTAATAAATTACAACAAGTTTCCATTTTTTATTTCCTTTCCTTTTGTTTTAGATAAGTATTGAACATTACTAATTAAAAAATTTGGGGCCCTATAATTTGGTTGGAGAAGCTGGTTCACCATATTTGGAGTCTTCCACCTAACATTGTTGTCTTTAGCTTGAAACTTTGAACCTCACATCTTTGAAACTAGCACAGTTAACGCAAGTGGGAACCGCCTTTAATAAAATACACGCTGGAAAAAAATACAAAAAAGTGTCATTTCCTTTTCACCTTGAATAAAAAAATGAGGCCTTATCTTCATTTCAACTGAAGCTTATCTTCATTCGATCCAAATTTTATCAGCACTAATGATTTAGCCTCAACTTAAGCTTATCTTCATTCGATTCAAATTTCAGATTTTAGCTCTTATTATAAGTTTCTCTATCTCAAAGAACCAATATGTGTGTATCTACCTATATATATATACACATATATACTCCCCAGTTTCTATTTGTAGAAGAAACTATCACTTTTTACTTTTTTTTTATATAAGCAAAATCATATATTTCAATAAGTATTTATTACACATCACTAAAATTGCCCCTCCTAATTTACATTAACGAGAAATAACATACTTATGTTGATTAACGTAGGGCATTTTATTCAATTTCCTTTTTTTAGACATAATTATTATGCTTAACCAACTTTCTAAAACTGTGTGATATAATTTTTTTTTCTTATATATAAAAATAGAGGGAGTATAATTTAGGGAGAATTTTAGCGGAGAACCAAGGATTTAACATAATAATAAATAAGGCCCATTAAAATCTAATTTTAATTCAGTCCAAAAGGATTAAAATGAAATTAATTTAAATGATGAAAAGATTGAAATAGCCTCCATTTAAACATTAAAAAAATAATGATCAAATTTACATGTAATGTTAGGGAATTAACAATTAAAGTTGAGAAATTAACAACTAAATTACTTCATAAACTCAAATAAACTAATTGAACAAGTCAAGTCAAGTAATTTATAAGTGATGTCAGAGAATAACAAGTTGCTACAACTAGTGTTATATCATGAGTTCAGATTAATTAATCGAACAAATCAAGGATCGTCAAGTCAATTAAAGTAATTTACAAGTGATATTGGGATCAACAAGTAAAGTTGAAAAATAAATAACTGATATTGCCTCATAAGTCCAAATAAATTGATTAGACAAGTAATTTATGAAATAACTTAGTTGTTGATTTCTCTATTTTAATTGTTAATTTCTCAACATTACATGTAAATCTAACCACTATTTTTTTAATGTTTAAAAAGAGGCTATTTTGGTGCTTTCATAATTTAAATTAATTTTATTTCATTTGTAATAACCTAGGAAGTTGAAGTAAAATTAAAATATAGAATAATGTATTTTAATTGTATTTGTATTAAGTCTAAAAATATTTTGACAAGAAGCATTGTTGATCTAGTGGGAGTTGCATTGATAATTTACCTGTATCAGGTCATGAGTTTGATTCTGGCTTGATGCAAAAGAAGGATTTTTAATTTGGTTTCAGTTTTATGAAATTACTAGAATGCCCCTCCTTTTAAAATAAAAGTAACGCACCAGATTCTTCCCTCATTCCTCTTCCTTTTTGTCGGCTACAACTAGAGGGAGAGAGATTGAGAGTAGTACTAAAATTTCTTCCTCCTCTTTGATCGTCCGCGTCGGTGAACTTGGGTACGTTGTCCACTACCAAGATAGGTGTTAGGGAGCTCACAAATCCTCCGCTCTTCCTCCTCTATTTGTGTAGCAGCTGTGAGCGTTGATGCCATCCTTCTTCTTTCTATTCTCTGCTGTCAGCTCATCGCCACCATGGTTAAGCACCGAAGGTACATCTATCACTTGGGCGTGCGTTTCTCTTTCCCTTTGTGCCGCTGACATTTCTCTTCTTCTTCTTCTTCTCTTCTTTCCTTCTTCCGTACTTGACGTTCGGCCCTTCCCCTGTTCGGTGTTTCAGAGTCTTCTTTCATCCTCCCTGCTATCATGCCCAGACCTTCTCCTCCTTGTTTCTAGAATAGTTGAGGTAAGGATCTTGGAGTCCCTTCTCCTTTGTTGTTGTTGTGCGTGTTTAAAGGCTGGCTGTTCCTGTATGTGTGCTTTGCTGTTGTTGTGCGTGTTTGATGGCTGGCTATTCCTCTGTGTAAGTTTTACTGTTACTGTGCATGTTTGATGCTGGTTGTTGCTCTGTGTGTTTAGCTGTTGCTGTTTGTGTTTTTATGGTTGGGGGGGATTTGAGTAAAATGAAATTTGAAGTTCATGAAAACTTGGATTTGGTTAAAAATTGAATTGATTTGGGTTGCTGGAGATAAATATGAATTTGGTTTTGCCTTTGAAGTTAAAGCTAAATTTTTCTATGCTAAAGGATGGGATTTGAGAGTGTTGATTAATATAAATATTGATACTTGGAAAATTTTGGAAAGGACATTACAGAGGTAGAAGCTTAGTATTGGTTTGAATTTTAATGCATATGAGATGTGCGATAAAATGCTTGAAAGGAAGTCAGAATTAGAAATAGAGATGTTTGAGAAAAATAAAAGATAAGGATTATTTGTGCTATTTCTGTGAAATTTTTGACAGTGAAGTTGTAGGAAGTCCAATAAAATCCTATTATATGTTATAAGAAGATTGGAAGAGAAGAGAAAGAACTTGACATCATGATTTAATCAATAGTATTTGCAAGGTATTTGGAATAATACTTGCTAGAAGAATCTAACATATTATGACAAGATTCTTGTGATAGTTGTATTGTCGTTGGTTAAAATGTTATAGAAGACACTTTATATGAAATTGAGACAAAAATTAGAGATTTGTGGAATAGATAATTTGATGGATAATCAAGAACTAGATTGCCATTGATATGTTAGTTTTTGAAATTTCTAACGAATAATTAATGCAATGTTCAGAAAAAAAAATTATCTACTGTTATTGTTGAATAAATTTAGGTTGTTTATTTTGAATTTGTGAAGTGTATATAAGAGAATGATTATAGTATTATTGGACAATAGGAATTTAAGGATCTCGAGTTGTTGCAAAAAGGGCCAATTTGGAAGTTAGCGATATGCTTGAAAATCCATCAAGTAAGTGAATAGTGTCTCAACTAATTTTTCAATAAAAATTTCTTTAATAAAATATAACATTTTTATGCAAATCATTTTAACAACAATGATGTGATTATTGAAAATTTTTTTAATTAAACTTCTTTATTTTGTGAAATTACCTTTATCAGTTTTGAAATGTTAGTTAATCAATATATACAAGTTTGGACTTTAATTATAGAATTTCATTTTGAAAAATTATTGAATTGCTGTGTGAAAAAATGATTTATGCGAGTTTGACGTTGAAAATGAAAATTTTATTTTGAAAGTGATGATTTTCTCATATGTTTGAAAATGAATTTTAAGAGAATTTTATATAGAACACTGGTTGCTAACGGCAGTTCTGTTAGCCCTTGGCATGCCATGGTATACCTAGCTAGCAGGGTATGTATAGGAGGTGCTAGCCCCGTGCGATGGCTAACGCACATGGAATAGATGGATGGTTATTCACGAGTATTGTACTCACGTTTGTTTTATAGCTTTGGCTGCGTTTGGTTACATACTCTCGTGGACTATGTGTCCATGTTTGTTTCGTGGCTTTAACTGCTTTTGGTTACTTACCTTCGTGGACTGTGTGTCCACTTTTGTCTTTATGGCAAGAGCCGCGTTTGGTTATTTATTCTTGTGAACTGTGTGTCTACGTTTGTTAATTGTTTTGATAAGTCCCTATTATATGACTTTGATTATTGGTAATTTTACATCTCATTTGTTTTAAATAGCAAATTATTTATAATTACTGATTTTGTTTATTTGCTTCCTTGCAATCAAGTGATAATATTATTTAATATGAGATTTTAATGGTTCGAGATTTTATTTAAAATTTTATAGAATCATTTTATTTCAATGTTTATTAAATTTTTATAAAGATCGTTGCCTCTTTAACTTATATAATTGTTTAAATTTTTTTATGTTCAATTATTTACTGTTGGGATGTTATTCACTGAAAAATATTTTTTTTATCACAGATAACTTGTACATTTGTCAAATCATTCAAGGGACTTTATTACTAAGTTACAGTTGAGATGCTATATTGGTTCATCTCTATTTTCATCTCCAATTTTTTTATGTAAAATTTTAATTTGTATATTGTACTTCTATAAATAATGTTATAAGTGCTCCACATAGACTATGGTTAAGATCCTTTTTATAAGGAAGGTTTTGTTAAAAAAAAACATTGAAGCTTTGCTATGACAATTAGTATTAAAAGTGTTAGAAATTTCATATAACTTGATTATTTTATTAAAAAGCAAAAAAATTTCATTTTGAGGCTTACGGGAATGAATGATGTAGTTCACACCCATGCCGGTTACCTTTTATTTTTGAGGTGTGATAGATTGGTATCAGAGCCTGGTTTCATGTGGAGCAAGGACACTTCATTGGGGTCTCAATTATCATTATAAATCCGGACATAATTATAATTGAGGCATCATTGAAGGCCTTATAGAGGGTCCTATAATGTTGTTATTGTGTGTTAGTGTATTGGTGTGCGATTAATCTCTGTTCTTTCTATTTGCTCTTCTAGCTTTTTAGGTTAAGGGAAATAATGAGGTGGACATCCAAGTAAAGGAAAACAAGAAAGGGAGGAGCTTTTGAAGGTATTATTATTTAAGAAAAAAATAACACCACACACACACATATATATACACTTCAGTTGTTATAAGAGGAGCGATAGGAACTTGAGTTCTAATCTTTGATTATAAATTAATATATGTCAAGAATTGGAGTTTAGAAACTCTCGTGACTTTATATTAGTGGTTGAAGGTTATTTATTGGTTTGAATGGAGGAAAGAACCCATTATGCTTAATGAAGTTAATTATCTTAAATTAAAGGTGTTATAAGAGTTGTAAGTGTAGGATAATAAATTGTACATGTTTTGAATATAATATACTTATAAAGAGTTATTGAAGAGTTTTTAAAAAATAATAAATCACTTACTCTTTACCAAGGGAAAAAAAGCAAAAGGTTTGTATGGGAGTTATTTTAATTTATATTTGAAAGAATAGCTCTATAAATCAATCAACTTGCCCCTTATTTCATAATAGTTAGTGTGTATTAAATGAGAAACAATATAACATTTCTCCAAGAAAAAAAAGGGGGGGTGAGGTCATAAGGTGAAATAATTTCTTTAAGGTCATTACCAGCCCTGAACTTAGTCTCACTTAATATAACAAGTAGTAAGAGCAGTGGGTTCATCCTCAGCAAATGTTTTTATGCACTCATTACACTCCAGGAAGTATAATATAGTAAGATTATATGTAGTTGCTATTAGTATTGATAGGCATATCATGCAGAGTGTTGTCCTTAAATCAAATAGTTTGAATCTTGGTTAATTTTGTTGGCTTGAATTATGTGAGAATATCTAAACCGCAAGAAAAGATTCATACATTGTTTGATTCTAATCTTAAGCATTCTTATATGCTTGGGTATTATGATACAAATTCCAGCTAGTAAGATGCTTTTGATGGATCAAGTGTTTAAATCTTTTACCATTGAATGAAGGTAAAGAGTTTCTTGCTAACTTTACATGAGTGTCAATAAGATTTATTTGATGAAATTATTATAAGATAAGTGTGAGTGAGAAATTCATAATTTTGAAATATCAACCTTGAGAACAAAAACAAAGTTTGAAGAGCAAAGTGTATAAATTTAAATTCTTTACTCATGATGAGGTTCAAATGGGTTTGTTAGGAATTAAATAGGTCATGCATGATTTGAGGAAAATAATTGGGATTCATGTGATAGGAAAACTAGAATGATGGTTCAAAGTGGAATATTGAAGCTCATATATTTTGATTTGAATGATATATATGACTAAATGTGTGTTAATGCAAGTCAAGTGGTCATTTTGAGTCATAAGGTCAATCTTAAGCACTAAATTAGATTTACATGCTATATGAGTGATGAGAAGTATGTTTTTTGTGAAGAATTCTAAGAGAATGCATGCTCAAGGAATGGAGCCTTCAAAACATAACCAAATGTGTAGTAAAAGGTATGACTGAAGTTGAAAGCCATTAAAGGTTGAAGTTTAAGTTGAAATTTGACAAGTATTTATGGGACATATAGAAGTTCCACTCGTCTAAGTATGGCAATTTTTGGAACTCTAGAGAATATTTTATGAGTTTTCCAATTCAATCCAGGGGCTGTCATGAAATAGTTCTATGTTTCCTATATCAGTTATGATGTTTAATGATTTTTCTAGGATGAATGGACTCTAATGACTTTGAAATTTTAGCAGTAGATAGTATATGAATATATCTTTTAGGGAATCTTAATTTGCTTCAATTGAATGTTCCTAACTTAAGTTATGAAAATCTAAAGTTGGGATCAATTATGTGTTCATAACATGCATGCAAATTAGGTGAAGAGGAATTAAGGTTTATTGTTCTTTACTAATTATATTGGTTACTAATAAGATATTTTAGGCATTTTAAGTGAGTTGGAATGATCTTTGGTGGTGAATGGTGGAGACAAAGCAAGTGAGTAAAATAACAAATGATATGTGAACAAGGGTAAGGGTTGTAAGTTTTTGAACTAAATGAATATGATGTTTAGGTTATTCTTTGATGAGTTTATGAGGGAATATATTTATGGAATTTTGATGTATTTAAGAAGTTTAGAACAATATTGGATACCATACTAACTTGAAGAGTCATATTTTTATGCAAGTTATTGGTAGTGATAGAAGGTGCAATGATGTTAAATTTTCTATTAACTAGAGGGAGTATTTAGACGTAATAGTAGTATGTATGTCTTAAGTAAAGGATGTGCCAAACGGGAAAAATTTGATCTCATTGTACATTAAATATTTTTATTGAAGGGATGTTGTGAGGAAGGGCATAATAATAAGGCTTTATCTTATGCTACTTGGGTTGTGCACAAGTTAAGGCAAAATATTAGAAATTGAGATGATTGCATCAATGATTTGAAGAGTTTGTGGAGTTATATGGAGTTTCACCATCTTAGTTACGGATTAAGAGCTATAAGCTACTTCATGCTTTTGACAAGCCCTTCAAGAAGCTTTGGGTACTATCACAAATTGAGAATCAATGTGAAAGAACAGTTTGAATTATAGACGTTATACTAAGATTTTATATTGTGACTCTTGGTGAAAGTGAGGATAACTTCTTGGAGTTGGTGGAAAGGGAGCGTAACAATAGGGATCAAACTAGTATTTACAATTTTAGGAGTTGTATGACATAGCAAATATTTGTATGACCCTTCTCATGTGATTAAGACTCAGGAGTTTAGATAGGCCTAGATTTAACAAATGAAGAAGTTCTTGTTATCATTCTATATAAGTAATTAAAGAAGCAACAATTGAAAGAAATTGCTTTGGTGAAGATGGTTCTAGCACAATCATTTTCAAGAGGCAGCTAAAAAAAAAAAAAGAAGTTGAAATGTGATCTACGTGCTAAGTATTTGCACTTATTCTAGGATTGAGATGCGCTCATATTTAAATTTAGTGACGCGAATTTCTAAAATGAGGGGAGAATGTAATAACTAGGAAAGTTGAAGTAAAATTAAAATATAGAATAAAGTGTTTTAATTGTATTTGTATCAAGTCTCAAAATATTTTGACAAAGCATTGTGTGGTCTAGTGGGAGGTGCATTGATAATTTACATGTACCAAGTTATGAGTTCAATACTGGCTAATGCAAAAGAAGGATTTTAATTTGGTTTCAGTTTTGCAACTTACCAGAATGCCCCTCCTTTTAAAATAAAAGTAACGCACCAGATTTTCCCTCATTCCTCTTCCTTTTTGTTGGCTGTAACGATATAGAGAGAGAGAGAGAGAGATTGAGAGTGGCTCTAGAAATTTCTTCCTCCTCTTTAATCATCCATCGTCGGTGAACTTGGGTGCGTTGTCCACTACCACGATAGGTGTTAGGGAGCTCGCAAATCCTCTACTCTTCCTCCTCTATTTGTGTAGCAGCTGTGAGCGTTGATGCCATCCTTCTTCTTTCTCTTCTCTACTGTCAGCTCGTGCCACCATGGTTAAGCACCGAAGGTACACCTATCACTTGGGCGTGCATTTCTCTTTCCCTTTGTGCCGCCGACATTTCTCTTCTTCTTCTTCTTCTCTCTTTCCTTCTTTCGTACTTGACGTTCGGCCCTTCCCCTGTTCGGTGTTTCAGAGTCTTCTTTCCTCTCCTGAGCATGCCTAGAACCTTCTCCTCCTTGTTTCTACAATAGTTGAGGTAAGGATCTTGAAGTCCTTTCTCCTTTGCTGTTGCTGTGCGTGTTTAAAGGCTGGCTGTTCCTCTGTGTGCATTTTTCTATCGCTGTGCGTGTTTGATGGCTGGTTGTTCCTCTGTGTAAGTTTTGCTGTGTGTTTTGTGTTTTTTGGTTAGGGGATTTGAGTAAAATGAAATTGAAGTTTGAAAAGAAAACTTGGATTGGTTAAAACTGAATTGATTTAGGTTGTGTCATCAGAGATAAATGTGAATTTGGTTTTGCCTTTGAAGTTAAAGCTAAATTTTTCTATGCTAAAGGATGGGATTTGAGAGTGTTTGATTAATATAAATATTGATACTTGGAAAATTTTGAAAAGGGCATTACAGAGGAAGAAGCTCAGTATGGTTTGAATTTTGATGCATATGAGATGTCCGATAAAATGCTTTGAAAGGAAGTCAAAATTAGAAAAAAAAAAGAGATGTTTGAGAAAAATGAAAGATAAGGATGTTTTGTGCTATTTCTTTGAAATGTTAGTTAATCAATATATACAAGTTTGGACTTTGACTATAGAATTTCATTCTGAAAATTATTGA